TAAATAATTAATGATTTATTATATTTTAATTTGCTTTTATTACTTTCACGAAAGATATAAAATATTATATATATTATTATTATATGTCAAATTTGTATATGGTTGAGATCATGTGATCATATTTATTATTTTATTATTGGTTAACCTTTTGTCGATCATACTTATTATAGAAATGCTGATCAATATTTTAAACCAATTAGAAGAAAGTCTTTCTATGAGGACATTATTTAGAACTTGTATATATTTTTCTTCTAATTTTGATTTAAAAAACCAAATTTAATTGCATCATTAAAGTCTCCAACATTGGCATTTTCAAGTGCTGTCATATTTGGCTCTAAATGCAAAATAAAATTTCAGATTTTATCTAAGTAATCGTTAGAAGATTCCTGCCTAGTATATTGATCATGTTTTGCAAAAATAGTTGCTATTGTATTGTATAATGGTTGTCTTCTAGCTTCTGCCATATTTCTTAGAGGATTATTAATTTGTAAATTTAAAATAATTTGCCTTGAATTTATTTCTTTTTGCTTTCATTTTTTATATTGATTATATACTTGATCCTGATTATATTTTAATAATCCTATATCTGCTTAAGCTTGTCTATAATACTTTTTTAGGTTTTATGCCTGCTATATACAAACAGTATATCTTCTTTTTTACCAACATTTTTCATAAATATTTTCACATACCGTATCTTTAAGATTATTGATTTTATCATCTCTTTGTTGTTAGGCTTATTTTTCATCCTTCTATGCTTGCTCTATCATCTATACACTTTGAAGATAATTATTTCTAAAATTTATCATATTATTCATAATCCTATTAATCTGTCTATGGAATGCATTAAGCAAACCTTATAAGTTTGCATTTTCCTAAATATACCTTTGATTATATTTTCGAATAGTTATTATTGAGATCCGTATTCCATTCAGTGTATTTTTTAGGTCAAATAATGTATTGCTATTGATATATCCTTCAATCTGATTATAGATGAGGGACGAAACCCTTAATAACAGTTGAAACTTAGACGAAACTATATTAAAATCATAATAAGGGATATGACGAAACCCATTCGATACGACGAAAGCCGAAACTGTCGAAACTATATTAAAAACATAGAAAAGGGTATGACGAAATTATTTTGAGGAGGTTTTGGCAGGCATCTATAAATCTGATCTAAAGCTATATCAATATTTCTTAAGATATCTGATAGTGCCATTGGTAAACTATTTATTTGGGATAATTTTTTATCTGTAATCTCCCTAATTCACTTTTTAAACTGTTCAACCATGTCTTCTAACCTTAAAATATAGATATCTTGAGTAGTACTTGCATTACCTTTATGCCTTAAATTCTGTAATGCTTTGTAAAAACGCTATTTAAGAGATTTTATCTCAGACTTAAGAGATACTATCTCATCTTCGTGAGCTAATATTGTTGAATCCTGGAGAGATAATGTCTTATAACAGTTTTCTAGCTTCCTAGAAAGTGATTTTAGCTTTTTATTCTTAAGTTTACTTTCAGTTATTTTATCTTCCAATTTTTTACGCAACTCTTTATTAGTATTTAGGATTTCTATATAAGCGGGATTATTCATGTTAATTCCTATTATTCAGATAGAATCGGGTGAAGCTCAAAAACTTGATATTTCTATTGATTTGCAAAAGATTTATTATCAGCTTTCGGGCTATCAGAGGACTGCAAAAAAATTACACAAAGCCTCTCAAAAAGCTGAATATAATTTTTTTCTTGATGAGATGTGTGACTGGATTGAGAGACAGGCTATTCATAAAATTCATATGCCTCATCCTAAATTTATTCAGTATACTTCCTTTAATAATATATAATTTTTAAATAAAATGTACTAATCTGATACTATCCCTATGCCTCATGATAAAGTAGGTAATCAGATTTACAAATATAGAGGTATTATTAAAGATGTTGTAACTAGGTATCAAAGTAGTTTTGCATTAACTGATAAATCTTCTGCATAAATAGCTAAGAATATTCAAAAAATTTATGATGATCTTAAGGAGCCTCTCTTTTGGTCAAATTGTTTTAATTCAGATAAGGGAACAGAATATATAGGGAATTATAAGAGTTTATTGCTTAAACATAATGTAAAAATACAATATATCAAAATCAAGAAAGGTAATGCTACAGCAGAACGTGATCATAAAGAATTTGAAAAGCATTCTGGTATTCAGCAAAATGCTATAGATTTTCTGTTACCTTTATCAAATCGTTCTTGAGATTAGATTAGAAGTCTTTATATTAATGATGATATATTTAATAATACTTCTACTCGATTAATAAATATGTCTCTTAATGAGGCAGTAGAAAAAGTATTTAATAGGGAGAAAATAATTATTAAGCCAGCTGTAAAACATAGACCTATTGAATATGACAAACCTTATTTATCCTATTATGACTTAGTAAGATATCTTCTTAAACCAGAAGAGTTAGAACATGATTCTGCTAGAAGACGTATTACTGATATAAATTGGTTTCCTCAGGTTTATTATATTCACAAATCTTTAGTACAAAAAAATCAGCCAGTCTTATACTGGCTAATAGATAATAAGGGCAATAGTTTGAAAAGATCCTTTATAAGAGAGGAATTGATAATTATTCCTAATACTAAGTTGCCTTTCCAATAGGTCTTATCAAATTGATGATAAAAAGTCTTCTACTTTATTATCGATATCTTCTTTCTTAATGAAATAATCTTTAGCTAATTTATAATATAACTTATATAA